AAAAAACTCAATATACAACTATTTGTCCCTACCGTAACTGACGTTTGAACCACACCTCTGCATTCTGCGTGTGGCCCATTAGCCATCTCTACGTGACGTGTAGTTGGTTGAATTTTCATGTAATGTTCTTGTGCTAACGCCGTTGGAATAACTGAAATCTCTGCTCCAGAATCACAAATAAACTCATGCTTGAACTCTCTGCTTCCAGACTGAACCACTGTACCAGTTAGTGTAATAAATTTCTTCGCGGCTGAGAACGAATTTATTTTTGCTGACGATTGTTCCCAGCCGCCTTGGAGTTTAAAGACGGCGAAGGGCGAGGGCCGTTTGGAGCATTGCAAGATGGTGCTGTATGGCCCTTTTGCCAGCAGCGTTGACAAAGATCTTTAAATGGATAGTCTTTCCGAAAATGTTCAGGCGACTGGCAGTGGAAACACGCTTGATTTTTACCGGTTTTTCCACTCCTAGGTTTTGGCGGGAAATTTCTCTTTCCAACGAACCCGACCGTACATTTTGTTTCGTCCTCCGTTTCCCGACTTCCATCGTTTTCTTTGGATAGGGCGGCTGCTACCTCTTCTCTGATTATCTTTCTTAACGATATTTCGTCTGCTTTCCCTGTCGTTTTGCAATTGTTTACTTCGAGGTTTACTTTTGGCGCTGTTGTTTTATAAATTAGCTCGAGCCGATCTAATTCTTCAGAAAGTTGTGTTAAATTTAAATCTCGATGTTTACTGTCGCTCTTTATCTTTCGACTCATTGCATTGTCAATAGCTCCCAAAAAGGTATCATGTAACATTTGTTCCTTTGTTTTCTTTGCCGATCCGTGTGTTGACGCGCATAACTCCGGGTAAGCCTTCGCCATCAACTTTTCGATTCTCCACGCTAACTGTGCTGGTGTTTCACCGCCTTTTCGCCTTAAACCTCGTAATTCGTCGACAGCTTTCTCGTGGTCGATCGATTCTTTGTTGAATTCCTTCCTTAAAGCGGCTTTAACTTCTTTTGGGTCATCTTGAAGTTCATCGTCTAATCTCGCAATACATAGAAACGCCGCCCCCTCGAGTTTACTCGCTATGGCGTGAGCTTCTTGTTTACCTTCAAATTTCTTTGTAGAACAATAGAACTTCATTTTCATAAGCCACAAATCTACAGTACATCTCCCGTACCGTCATAACAGGCTTGTTTTATTTCTGCCACTTCCGACAATTTAAAGCGAGAATCACCGCTGCCAACACTGTAAATTTATATATTGTATTACTCCGAACACATGTACAATAATAGTCTTAGTACGTCTTCAAGTTAATTATTAAGCCCGAAGGTCCATGCCTAATAGCCTGCAAACAGGCTTGCTATTTACGAGTATCTATTTCAATGTAACTATAAATGTCAATATATCACACAGGCAAATGTATTTTAGAAGCTCCAAAGACAGCTAATTTGTTAATGAGAGTATGAGTTATGGTAAAAGAAATTTTCAGGCATTCATGAAGTGAAAATCATTATTTTCCCTTGGAATTTAAAATTTGATTTTAGAGAAAACCCTCATTGAGGCAGCATTCGTCTCAGTAGACAACAGCTTGAAACAAAATAATAGCTTTTTTATTGTCTATTCAGAATTGATTGATTACTTTAACCAATTACAGGCATGTCCAAGCTGGTGATATACTGTATTTTGTAAATTACAGTAGCCCTTCCTGATAAATGGGATCATCATTTCTATAATGTACTTCTTTAGTACTAAGTTGTAGTACAGTCTAGAAATGTACTTTTATTGCCTTCAATATCAATGCAAACTCCATTAATTACACGTGGTCTCTCTCTGATCCATAGATATATCTTAAGTCACGTGACATGATGTGACTACCTTCTTTAAAATAAACCATAAATGTAAATTGTTGTTTATTATAATATATTACCTTAATAAAGTCTACGTGTCCGCTTTTTAACTAGTTTTAACAAGTCTAACTTCTATAAAAGTCCGGTGTTCTTCGATTTTGTCGAGATAATACCTTCGTTGTAGATCTGATGAATCGCGTTGTGGCTCTTCAACTATTGCTGGTTTTCTACTATATCGTCATCAAAATCTTCTTCTTCATCATTCTGGTCTTCTTTATCATTCTGGTCTTCCTCACTTGCGTTCTTGTAATTTGTGAGACATTTGAAAAACGACGCATTCCGGGTTACGGTGTGCTCTGTTGTTACAATGTTGTTACACGAGCTGTTACAATGTTGCCTTTGATTTCAATCACTTGAAATGGTTTGGGATTGAAAGGCATTGATAACTTATTGTCCTTCGGTGCATTAATACACCGATTCGAAAAAGAGCTGTCAAAGTCTGGAGGACTGTGGCGAGTTACACGAAAACGAGGCTAGTCAGGTTAATTTTTCGCGCGAAAATTTTGAAATTGTTTATATTTTTTAAATAACATGGCCTCATCAGGTTTTGATAACTTTGACGTAGAATTAACAGAAGAGGATATTCCCGGTGCTTCCTTAGCTGGAAGAATACCTTCTAAGCTAAATATGGACGAGCTTCGTTTTTGGTTAAAATGTCGTGGTGATTCGTGCAAAGGCCTTAAAATGAAGGCACAATTCGTAAAACGGTAAGCTTAAAAAATTCTACATGTGTCAATACGGACTCGATTTTGCGCTGTGTTGATATTATGTTTTGGTTTTTCATTGAAGGGTTGACGAGTATGTAAAATCAGGCCGCGACAAGAGCATCGTTAACCCCGACGAAAACAAGATATTTTCGAAAAGAAAAGCGAGAAAACAAACTTCCCAAGAAATCGAACCGGATACTAACGAATTGGAAAACACATTAAATACAAGTCGAGTTATCTACCCGACAAACAGTTGGTCGACTTCTCTGAGTCGTATGCCTTTATTTACTCGTGCAGAGATGAACTTGCATATCTCAAAATCTGGCAAGTCCTTCTATCCACATAGCAAAAATCATACAGTTCCAACATGTATGAGAAGAGCCAAAACATTTCTAGATGATGAATACCTAAAAGACGTGTTAGCCAACAGCGACGAGAAACACTTTTATTGTAAATGTCTGTGCTATCACAGCTTCAAAAAGAATGAACCACCGCACAAGTTGAAGGTTGCTTTGGACATTGTATCTGCAGAGGTAAAAAATGCCGAATGTTCCTGTGTT